TGTGTTGTATATACTGAACTGTTCGTCAAGTGCAAGACTTTGCGATAACGAACACAAGCGACGATATGCCCAACATAAGAATGCTATTACAGATACCTACATGGACGTAAGCGACGATGTGGACAACATAGGAGTATTAATGTAGATACCTACATGGACATTGCCCTGAAAGGGATCGGATCAAGTGCAGTTTACTCCAACATAAACATTCACTTGCTCCTAAACCACAGTGCTGAAGGAGGAAGAGGTCGTATTGAACCTGACCCTCCCCGGCCAATTAGGACCAAAGTCCAGATACTGAAGCAATGAGTGCCAGGGGTAAACTAGCGGTTAACATGTCCGGACTATGAATCCGAGGATTCATGGTTCGCATCTAGTTCTCATATACAAATAAAAAAAAACAAAAAAAACTAAAAACGCCCCGCACTTTGAGGCAGTGCGTGCAGCATAAGAGTGAAAATCAAATCCTACTGTGCGGTGAGATAAAAGTAGTTAGAAAGTTGGCTGTGGGTGTTGTTGACCAGTTGCTTTCATTGTAGTCTATCAGTTCAACATTAGAGATAACTTTGTGCGAAAAGTATAAACTAAACAAACAAAATCTCTCTACATTTCAGGGAACAGCCCATCTTTACTACCAAAGCTCATGTCTTTCACATTGACCCCAAGACTAAGCGAGCGTGGATTCCGGCTAGCTCTCAAGCCATCAGTGTTAGCTTCTTTTACGACTCCACAAGGAATTTTTACCGAATTATAAGTGTAGAAGGGACCAAGGTAAGTGTTTACTTTTATTTGTGTGCAATAATAGTAGCATTTTATTTATACAGCTTTTATATAAAATTCGTGTCAATACCGAGAAAAAAATCGCGAAGTTCCGGATGTGAAGGATGGTCTTTAAAGTTCATGACGTCTTATTACAAAATAAAGTCCACCTTTTGGATTGTGTTTACTCTGGATGAGCGAAAGTTCTATTTTATTTATCTTCTGACGCGACATAATACTTTTTCGTTAAGTTAAGAAAGACAGTTAAAAGAGGTAAACCACGATGAGACCCCCCCCCCCCCAAGAGAAATGCAGGCTTGGCTGTGCACACTCGGTATTTTCAATTGTTAGGTCGCTATAAAATGTAAATCGTTTCGACCTTTTTGTTAAGATTGGCCACGTCGGGATATGTCATGATGGTCGGTAGTCATAAATTAGTGTTAGCTATGTCCGAGTCTTGGGGGTATGTCGAGATGGTCGGTGGTCATAAGTTAGTGTTAGCTATGTCCGAGTCTCGGGATATGTCAAGATGGTCGGTGGTCATAAGTTAGTGTTCGCTATGTCCGAGTCTCGTGGTGTATGTCATGGTGGTCGGTGGTCATAAATTAGTGTTAGCTATAATGGCTGGAGACGGCTTGAATGGGTAATGAAGAAAAACTTTAATATAAGTTTAACATAAC